CACCTACATGTTCATAATCCAAATCCTAGCAGTTTCATGTTTATAAAGGGCAACAAATCATGACACAAAAACACTCACATATAAATGCATGAAGTGAAGCATGTCCTCCCAGTGCTATCATATAATTTCATCTGAAGACAATGCTACCCAACCCAAACTTCACTGTCTTCATGTTAAGACTCAGTATAGCTGCAGTTATAATTTAAGCTCCCAATGAGCTAGTTACTAGGGAATTATGTTATTAATTTCATCTTTCTAATACTAATAATTAACAGACAATAAGGCCTCTTAAGAGAGTTTTCATATACTGGAAGGGAAAATAAATTTATTACTGTTTTACTGAAGTTCAACAACCTCCATCCCTTCCTACCACCATTAAGTCTATTTTGAACTTTGGTCAAATATGTTTAGGAAACTGCTAAGAAGAGTTATAACTAACTGCCTGGATTTAAATCCTGGCTCACCTAGATGTCTGCTGTGGCAAGTTACTCAATGTTTCTTTGCTGTGGTTTCATTCCTTGTAAAATAAGGATGCTAGTTCATATGCTGGTTCAACTGAATTAAAAATTGTATCGCAACCAGGGGTGTCGTCTAGAGCACATTAGCCACTCATCAAGGGTGAAATATTACCATGTCTTTTCTGATGTATTTACTAGGTGTGTGTATTAGCATACTACTGATAATTACTCACTCTAGTAATGTAGGGATGAGTCCTACTTGACCAGCGTGAAATATTATTTTACAGTATCACTAAGTATCATTTGCTAGTATTTTAAAGTTTCACATCAAATTTTCAATTTTAGTACTATTTCAATGTCCAAGTTCAGGCACCGATGTTCTGCTGGTTTTGTAAAAAAAGATGCTGTGATTTTTTCCTTCCTTATGCTGGTGATTAATCTAAAATTATGAAAGTTATCCTATCTTTGAAAGTTAAAAGAATTCAACAGAAACACCATCTAGGAACAGTGTTTTGGGAGATGGAGACTTTTTAATAACTTCCTCAATTTTTTTCATTGTTATAGGTTTATTAGGTTCTCATTTCTGGAGACAATTTTGTAGATGAATTTCCTTTAAAAAAAAAAAAGGCTGGTTTGGTGTTTTAAAGCATTTGCTTTTTAAAAATAGACTTCAAAATCTTCTGTACTTGTATCGCATTTCTTTAATGTTGAGGCTAGCCAATTCATCTAATTTACATTCCCTCCACCCCAGCAAAGTACCAGCTCTTGAAATGACCGATTTTACTATTTTCCATAGATGATTGTTTTTCTTTACTTGTTTCATAATTTGAATTGTTAAGTCTACGTATTTTTCTCTGAACAAAACTTTTATTACTACTTTTAATGAGACTTTGAAGAATTTTGTCAAATCAAAAGTTACGTTGCCATCTGTGCAATCTCCTTGCCACAGTGGCTTTGATGTGGGATTATACATGCTCCTGTCCGGAGCCCCAGCCTATTTTGGATTTTGGCTTTATGCATCTCATATTGTTGCTATGAACAGAAGAGCACCTCTCTACTGGCCCACAGGAAAGATGGATAGATAGATCCTGATATCTGGTACCTGTTCTCTGGTCTCTAAAGGTTCACCAACAAAATCTTAAACTGACAGTCATCAGTGTGAAAACAAAGCAGGAGCAGGAAGCTGAGCTCGCCAACCTGCATAAAAACTTGTTTGAGGTTTTCTGCTCACAACAGGGCACTAATCATACATGCACAAGAGTCTGAAATGTCTAGGCGCAGTGACAAGTTTAGCCAGTGACAGAAAAATGAAATAGCGACTCCTAAAAGCAGTCTTCTTTCTGCCAGATCATGCCAAATAAATCTGTGAGGGAAAGAAATGAGAACATACAGTGGCCATATTATAGTAAGAAATGTAAAGAATGTCCATTTTACCCTGAAACGTCAGCCTACTCTAAAAGGATTTTCTAGCATAGATATGAGAAAGTTGTAGCTCTGAGATCTAACTGTAATTTCCGTGGTCTGATCAGCAATTCTGGAAAAGCATTTTTGCAAAAAAGCCAAACCAACTTCCTTCTTCATATCTAGCCATACATAGTTAGTACTTTATAGAACAATAAACCAAGTAGCAGTAACAGTGGAAGGTTCAGTTTTTGAAACTGTAACCTGTTGCTGAATATACTGTGTTAATTCATCTTTCAACAGTTGTTTCCCTCAAGCTACAAATTATGTATGACAGCATTTGTTTACACACCATTTTTATGGATGTACTATATCTCTTTTGGGAAGCAATTTCTAAAAACCCACAAAGCCACAGCTTTTAACTGTTTAAAACAGACCTCATACCTATTATATTGAGTGCTCCTAACCAAGCAAAGAAAGTTGTTATTTTTAGTTTAAAAAAAAATACTATAGATGTCTTGAGAAAGTTTGCCAGGGCACAAAGTTTGATCACCATAATCACTTCTGACTTGCAGCTCAAAGGCTGAGTTAACAGTTCTTAGAAATACTGCACTTTATCAGTCTGACATTAGCCAACATGTAATGAACAACTTAGCACAAAAATACTTTATAGCTAGATTATTTCTGCTCTTCTTCTGTTTCAGCATGATGTTAAAATCAACAAAAATATTCAGACTAGAGACACCTGACCCCTTACATTTACATCAGATTGGGGCAGCAACCCTGTCCTGACTGACCCCTTAGGAGAGGGGTCTCTAGGCAGATTACAGGACCAAAGTGCATAACCTAGGAAGAGGACCCTGTGTCTGCAAGGTTGCTAGTCAACAGTGCCAAGAGCTCCTGCTACCCCAGTCACCAGACAATGGCTTGGTTCCCACCACTAAGGGTGGAGACCTCAGGTGGAGGGAGACCTGGGGGAGGGGCCCATTCCACAAGCTCTGGGAATGGTGCTCACTCCACAGAACTTCTTAGATGCTATGGCATACAACTGTCAGGCCAATGGCAGGCCTCCCACTCCCAAATTTCACATTTAAACTACCTTGATTACACAACATGCTGGAACAATTTATGAATATATTAAAATTTCCTTTTCATATACTGAACACATAACATTTTAATTCTAAAGTCTTTTAACTATACACGTGTCTTGAAAACAGAAACTAAGTTATTTGCGCTCAAGCAACACAATTTTGTCCATATTCATTTTTAGAGGAATGTTACTTTCATTACAAAATTTCAGAATCAAATCACTTTATTAGTTTGTCATGACTCCTTTATGAAGGTTACTGTTATTAAACAGGTAACTGCTAACAGAAGTTAGTCACTTATTGGCCACTGTTCTGAGCGAACTTTGTAAAGAAATTTTAAGAATATTATCGTTCTTAAAAAAAATTGGCCTGAAAAGAGCAAAAAGGAAGGTTATGAAACCTTTCTAGATTTCACAGATTTAAAGTTTTCCTTTCAGTTTTATGTTAGCCAAGAATGGCATGAATAGATCATTAATTTAGCAAGAGAAGGAAGGGTTCAGTAATCTGGGGCAATGGAGTTTACAATTGTGCATGTTTTCACCATTAAAATGGCTTTTTTTTTCTTTTGCTGAACTGATCTCTATAAATTCTGGTTAATTCCTTGCAATTTATTGCAGAATTTATCTGTCATAATTTTACACTTGTAAAATTTTACCTGAAACTCAACCTATCTCAACCTTAGAAAGTAACGTTCATGAAGTTTACTTTCAAGTAACTCCAAGTGTCAAACTTTTAACACTCACTGTAATTTACAGTCTACATGGATAAGCAAGACCCAGATGTGACCTCAGCACAAAGGTCTTTGTGCAAAAACTGGGGAGAAGGCCATTTTAATTCTCAAAGGATGTGAACTCCCACAAGTCAACAGGCCTGAGTCAGCATTCAGAACAAAATAAGCTGGATTCTAGCCCTAGTTACCAAGTTATTTTGCTGCTTAAAATACAAAGCAATGCCTATAACTTAAAGATTCACTTTTCTGGGCTTAATTTACTCTACCAAAGACAAAACAAAGTCCACTCCTTCTGGAAATTAAGTCTGATTCCACCCACCCCCCCAAAATACACAAGGTGAGTCCAGAGACAAAGCGTCTTGTGCTCTAGAACCTTTCGGTTTTATGGACTCCTCTCACCGAAAAGTCGTAAGAGGTTCAAACCAGCAGATTCTTTGCTTAACGGTAGATAAACAAGTGGAAATTAAGACCCACTGTGCAGTGCTGTACCGAACAACATACAGGTTATACTGCTGAAAGGGTAAACATAACTGGGATCGAGATGCTCTACCTTGCTACACTTACCACCAAATAACTGGTTCAGCGACTGAGAACTAAGAACGCCGCCTGTGACTCCTCACCACCAAGATCACCACTACCACCACCCCAGCCCACCAGCAAAAGCCTCAGACAACGGAATTTTCTACAGCACGATGCAACATGGTGTCGCAGCCTTGCCTGGAGTATGGCTCAACTTACCGTTCTCCAGGCATCCATCCACTCTATCTGTGCGCAGGGAAACTGAAGGGGCTGGGCAAAACGGCCTAGACGCCTCCCTCTCCGACATGCAACTGTCAGGGATTCAGAAATCCCTGACCCCGAGGAGCAGGGGCCCTTTCGCGTTCCAGCGCCTCCAGCTTCGCCCTCCTCCCGCGCCGGCAAAGCCGGGCTCCTCCCCGCTCTGCGGTTCGTGCGCGCCGGGGACGCGCCCGACTGAAAGCACAGCCCCCCTCGCTTGAAAGCCTCGCCCCAGCAACGAGACGGCGCCTCCAGGCCAGCACGGCGGCAGGCTGGAGAGCCGGGAGCCACGCGAGCGGCGGACCAACCCCGCGCGAGCTACCTGCCCCGGCGCCCGCCGCTGCGGGCCCCACCAAGGACCCGGCGCGCGTGAGCAGCTGGGCGCGCCGGAGGCGCAGTGCGCGCGCGAAGAGGAGCGGGCCGCAGCGGCCGCGCTACAAGGCCAGCGCTGGGCGGCCTCCTCGGACCCTCCTTCGTGCTTCCACCCTCTCCACGCAGAGACCGGGGAAGCCCGGTGCTTTCCTGTCGCCCACCATCCGCACTCACCCATTGCCGCGGTCCTCCGGCTCCAAGCCTGCCAACCGCTCGCCCGCAGGTCGAGCCCGCGAGCCCGCCAGCCTGCACCCGCGCAGGCGCAGACCTTGACTGACCCCCGGTGCGCGGGGCGGGGCGGGGCGGGACGTGACGCGCTCAACGCCGCCGGGGCCGAGTCACGTGAGAGCGACGCTGCTTCTCGGACTCTCCCTACAGCTGCAGAGAGTTAGGTGATTCAGACCCAGTGCACCTGTCCGCCTCTTGGCGCGGGCAGGTAAGGGAGCACACCTTACGTCTGCCAAAAATCTTTGGGGACTCATCATTCATAATCTCCTGGCCTTAGTGCCCTACGGTGGCTTCACCGTGCCAGAAAAAAAAAAAGCCAGCGCGTTCTTTGGCTTGCAGCCTGCGGAAGGACCAGCGGGAATCTAGTTGGAGGCGAACGTTGAAGATTTGAAAGGGTCTCCCATCTAACTCCCCTTTGTAATCTCGGTTAGATTTCACCCAACGCCGAGCAGCCTTCACTGCCACGATTCAGAGAATACCTGGTGTGTGCTTTGAGTCATACCATACAGATAACTCGCAAACCCTGTTTCTTACCAACCTCAATCAACTTGAGGGTCTTCAGATGGCAGTGCGCCAAGCTAATGACCTGGAGCCCTGAGTCTGGTCGCGAAGACTTGACAATTCCTGGAGCATTCATTGAGAATTACTGGTCCCTGAGCCTGAAATCCCTATCTGAAAAAGTAATACCTGCTTGTCATGCATCCCTCAGCCCTCCTAAAAATAACTAGAAATAATGCTCTGACTGCAACTTGTAAACTGGAAGGTACGCCCCAAGTGTAAGGACTTGAGGAAAATTGAAAAGTCGTCCTCCTCAGGAGGTTCATCAACACATGAAGTGTGTGCACGTTCTCAAGATTAATCTAAAGGGTAACTCCAGTGGGTGAAGTATTAGGGGATCAGCTTTAAGTGGGTGACTTTCCTTACCCAGGTCCCCCATGCATACTTTGTAGATACTTAACCCCAAAAGTGCCTAGTCTGCTTGAACTAACCTATTTAATTGCTTCTTGGAATGTGGGAGACCAAGCTACCCACTTACAGTAAACATTGACTGAGTAACCACTGTGTATCCTGTCCATGTTTAAGCTCTCTTGAGGAAACAGTTTAATGAAGGATGTAAAAACAAAGGACTCTATAGAGGATAGTATCATACGGTGGTAAGAACTAGTGAGATTTGGTAAATATTTTTGCATCAGAAGAATTGTTGTGAGGTGTAAAGAAAAGATAATTCACAGGCATATATAGAAGGTGTGGGTGGTATTGGAAGCATTGAGTTACTGCTTATTACTACTTCACAGGCTAGGAGTGAACAAGTTTAGAGAGAAGTCATTTTGTTCGGGGCATGTTCAGTTTGGGATTGCTGTTTCAGGAAAAAAAGGACATTCTGCAAAAGCAGGAGCCTAGATGTCAAGATAGGGTCTTTTAGAAGTATACATTTGAGAACAAAGAGTACGTGAGATCAAGTCAAACAGAACCAAGCTACAGACAAACCTGTTAAGGGTCTAACACTGATGTAAGAGGGAAATCCAAACGGTGAGGTTTCTAGGAAGCCATTGAAGCAAGAAGTGATCAAATGCAATTTATAGTGAAATTACAGTGGTGCCTGTCTTGTTAATAGCTAGCAAGAGAGCAATTAGTATGAGGTGCTACAATAATAATGCCTTTGTAACACCAAACCAGAATGAATAAAGAAAGATTTGTATTTGACTTAAAAAAAAAACTCTATAAAAGACCAGGGGTAATAAAAACAACAATGAACAACTATCTACAAGAGACATATTATGGGAGTGGAGTGAGGAATGGAATCAGAAATGGGGGAGGGGGGTCATTGTCCTCCCTGGTGGAGCAACGGGTTAACACAGCAATATGAAGTATGCAGTTCGATCCCCAACAAGGGAGCTGACCCACATGATGCAGCCGACCTCTCCTGTCCCACCTGCTGATCCCTCCTGTCCCACCCAGTGTATTTCAGTAGATCTGCCTGTTCTGCTCCCCATTCTGTCTCTGGTGAATCCTTACCCCTTGCCACCTCTAGCCTGTATCCCAGTTCTGTATGCATAAATAAACTTTATAAAAATGGGGTGGGGAAGTGCCCCGGTGAAATGGTGGGAAGCCCACAGGGATTACAACTGAGATAGAAAAAGCACAAAATGATGTAAAAATAAACTATTACAAAAACAACAACAACAAAGGATTCTGGGTTCCTCCTTGGGGGTGCAATGGGTTAAAGCACAGTACTAAGTACTACTAAGCTGGTGACAGCTGCTTCAGCATGAGTTTGATCCCTGGCCTGGCCAGGGAGCTGACTCACATTGTGCAGCAGACCTCTCCTGACCAGCCCACCGCTCCCATCAGCAGTGTACTTCATCAATCTACCTGTTCTTCCCCACTCTCTCTCTGATGAATCCTCTCACTGCCTTCATCTGCACATGTTAGAACATCTGATATGTACCCCAAATGTTCTGACATGTACCCCCTTTCTGTTTTCATAAATAAATAAATCTTAAAAAAAAAAGACTCTGGAAATTCAGAAGTATGATGAATCTTTTTCCCTTGGGAGAGAACCAGAGACAGCTTCACAGAGTAGGTGTTTGAAGTAGGCCTTGGAGGATGAATGAGTGGCATTTTCACTTCTGGAGAAAGTCATAGGTGCACAAGATAATATTTAAAGTTCAGGTGGCGGGTCTGAAAGTGCAAGTCTGGTCTGTCAGATGCAGACATGTGTCATATAAGTAGTGCACAGAGATAGATTTGGGGCTCCAGAGGTCCAGAGAAGAACATGAAATTGTTTGAAAGGAGCAGTTGGGCAGCAGGTTGGGAAGGGCCTTTACTTCAAAATTACATTTGCCCTGTCTGGTATGAAGTCCTATTCAGATGGACTCTTTTTTTTTTTTTTTGAGTTAACAATAAAAAGCTTTATTTTGGTTTGGTCGGTATAGGTAAGATATTAGTTGAAGAATAAATAAACCAGGCAAGCATCATCGTATTCATAGGCATAAAAAATTTTTCTCAGACTAGAACAGAGAGGTTATTCTCCTGTGATAAAACCTGAAGAGGAAAAGATGGAAATTAGACATACAATGGGGGCACAACAGACTCAAAACAGAGGGCAGAACCCCCAGGCCAACAGGAATGCTGTATCTGAAGTGAGGCCAGCCCATTTCTTCGATGCTGCAGGCCACAGTGCTGTCCCTTTCAGTACACCGTCAAAACCTTGAGGCCCTTAGTTGATTCTTCTTGGGCATCTGAATGTTGGCAATCAAAACCCTCTATTTTTTTTAAATTTAGGATTAGGATTTGTCAAAAAGTTAGCTTTTCATCTCTCTGTCCCCACCTACCCATTTTTGCCACCTATTATTCAGTCACGTCAATTGCTCTTCCTCCTCCATACCAAATGTCAGGTAATATCCTCTAGTCCAGCTTTCATTCTCTCACGCCTAAGCTTAAAGTCTCCAGTGGTTCCTCCTTGCCTCTTTTACATTGGCAGAGTAAGTCCTGGCCCTGCCCGCATCTACCCACCTCATCCTTCTTGGGTGCCACAGCCACATGCCCTGTTGCAGAGTTGTGCAAACTCTTGTGCTTTTTCACTGTCAACTCTTTGCCAATCAAACATGTTAGCTTTTCAAGGTCATTTGCCTCCTCCTTCAAAACACCTTCCTGAATGACCCCAGGCAAAATTGATTGTTCTTAACTTTGCCTTCCCATAGAGGTTCCTGTTCTTGAGGGCAGGCCTACCATTCTGCCTTCTGTTGTAGGCACTGGTGAAAATGTCTCCCCTTCCCACTGTCCCCTGGGTGTCTAACTTGTTTCTGGCCCTCATACTGGATGCTTGGGGAAAAGGGCATTTGCCCAAATGTCGATAATGAGGGTCTGGGTTCTTGGGAAAGAGACGTGCAGATGTCAGTGGATTTTGCTTAAATATTCTCCACTCCCCCCACCAAAATGCTTTCTGGAAGCTATCTAGGCCCTCAGGCTCCATGGGCCTTTATGTCCACAAAAATAGCTTTGTGGGCCCTCCCTGGTGGCACAAGGGGTTGAGTCTCAGCACTATGAAGCAGCCACTGAAGCACTAGTTCAATCCCAGTCAGGAAAGTGACCCACATGGCACAGCAGACCTCTCCTGTCTCATCTGCTGCTCCCCTCAGCAGTGTATTTCAGTGGGTTCTCCTGTTCTGCTCCCCACTCCGTCTCTGGTGAATCCTCTCACCACCCCCAGACGTCTGCCCTATACCCCAGATCTTATATGCACAAAATAAAATAAATAAATAAAATATTCTGTACAAGCTCAGGGGAATCCATTGCTGTGAGTCTTTGTATAGTTAAGGCCACTTGTGGTCATTCCCTAGCAAGCTTGGGTCAGTGACCTTGTTTTCTCTTCAACTCTCATTTCCCAGGCCTCTGCAACTGTTGGCCTATCTCTGCCACTCCCTCTCACACACCCCCAGGCTCTAAGAACAGGTCAGCCACTGCTGGTTTGCTTCCCTGAACTTTCTGCTTTCTTTCACACCCCCACAAACTACACGCTCACAACCTGCGTACTTTTTGTGCTTTGTGCCTAGAAAGCTCTGCCTGATTCATGACAAAGTCCCGCTGTTCACTCTTCACTGCTCAGTTTATTCAGAGATTTAAAAATATATATTTATTTATGCACACAAGAACTGAGGGACAGGCCAAAGCTGCAGGATGGGGGTGGGTGGTGGTGAGAGGATTCACCAGAGACAGAGTGGGGAGCAGAACAGGGAGATGGACTGAAGTACACTGCTGAGGGGAGCAGCGGGCAGGTCAGGAGAGGTCTGCTGCCCCAAGTGTGTCAGCTTCCTGGTTGGGGGGATGAGACTCATGCTGCAGTGACTGGGGACAGCTTCATAGTAATGAGACTTAACCCCTTGCGCCAACTGGGAGGCCCTATAAAGAGATTTTTTTGCTGTTTTTCCTGATCCTGACCTCACTGGCTGACTCTTCAGAGGTTCCCCTTGGTGCTATGGAAGGAGAGAGGAAAGAGGTGTCCTCTACTCATTCTGTTACAGGACAC